TTTTTATTTGAAATAGTCGTATGGTTACACTGGACGGTCTAACTGTTGAATCTGTACAACTGAAAGAGGAGGGGTAACCATTACTATTAACATCTAAGTTTTCCATGGCTGAGCATTTAAGCATTCATGAAAATTTGGAGATCCCATGTCATGCCATTTTAGTTAACTCATGTGGTGGATATCTAAGGAACTTTATGCTAAAGGAAAAATATGAGATAAGGGTGATTATGCCTATTTTTGAAAAGCATGGGGAGGTTTCAACTCATTTCAGAAAGTACAGGGAAAACTGTAAGTAATTATCCCTCAACAGAATATGCAAGATGACCCCATAAAGTGCCTTCCTCCTGAGGCATATTCTCTGTATGCTTTTAAAAAGAAGTATCTGCCTCATCAAATACTTGAAATAAAAGTGTGCTTCTCTTCAATCATGTTTCATGGAGTGTGGCTTAGAGGCACATGTCCCATGGTTTTTGTAAAGCTCACCAAGGTTTTGTATCATTTTGGTGTTTGAATTCATATCTAACAAAGCATGCCATGTTTATGGGACAATCATTTTAGAAATTGTCACAGGTTTGAATTTTATCTATATTTTGTAGGCAAAACACAGTGATCCCAGTGGCAGAATTCCCACTTTTTACAAAAAATGCCTACATTTGGTCCATAACTAGTCCACCACTCGCAATACCCAGATAGTTGGGACCAACATTGCATCATGGCCCTTCTACCTTTTCCTAAAATATAATAAAAATTTTCAGGAATTTTAGTAGTAAACGGGTTTATGCACCTTTCGAATACCTTTCCCTACAGACATGGTGGACCCATGAAAAAAAAAGCTAAAAAACACAATTAAGCACAGGTGCCACCTTATCTGTAGGGTCAGGCATCCAAGAGTTGCATAAACTTGTTTACTAGCAATCCTCTAAACTTTTAATGTTTATGAAGTTTCTTATGACATCCATAGCATTTGTTGAAATGTACTATTCTTATTTATTTTATTCAGGAAACTAATATATCCTGTTCCCGTGAGGGCTAAAGGGAATAATGTTTGAATGTTATGAACTTACAAGTAGCCATGCAATATCCAGTGTCAGCATTGTTTCTTTTGGTGTTAATTAGGGGTGCAACTTGGGTGGGCTTGGGTTGGGATCAAATTTGAATGGGCCCAGCCTGGAAACCCAGTCCTGATGCAATATAAATTCTTCAAATCGGGTAACCAACTTGCACCTTTAGTGTTAATATGGTTATGAATGCTATGATATCAATTACTCCTTAGATGATATTCATCAGTTTATGAACCCATAGTACTATCACTATTACCTTGCTGATATTCATCACTTTATGAACTAATCGGTCTGCTTTGTATTCATGTAATTACTGCTACTTTCTGAAATTTCTCTTGAGATCTTTGTATTCATGTAATTATTGCATCTATTGAAAAAATGATAATAGTTATAGCATCATAATAGGTACATGCGGCTTATAAACAAGCCTTGCTAAGGTTCCATCCAGATAGAGCATCAAGAACTGACATACGCCAGCAGGTTGAGGCAGAGGAGAAGTTCAAGCTTATTTCTCGCTTGAAAGAGAAACTTTTACTGACAGCGTAAGGCATGAGTTGCAGGATTAAATTTTAGTGAGTTCACTCTGTCAAAGTGGTATAGCCTGAAGAATGTTCTGGGAGCATCTGTCACTCCCGGCTTCATGATTTCTCATATGGAAGTCATTGTGTTATTTTTAGCTAGATTTTCTAACCCTAGGGGAGAAACTATTTCTGTATAGCAAGAGCGTATTTTTGTTATTTTTTATGTATCATGGGCGAAAGAAATTGATGTTAACTTGTACAAGCATTGTGGACACATTATTGTAGAACCGCTGGACCTCATGCAGCGAACATTCAGGACAAAGCAGATGCGGTATTTTAGGTGGTAGGCAGTATTGGATGGTCCATTGGTGCTCTATCAAGAGAGGTGTACCGTGGTTTTCTGATTGTAATTTGTGTCCGGATTGTCTCAAATTTTCATTTGTTTGGTCACTGTTCCATAAAGGCATGTAACCATTATACCATGAATCCATGAGATCGACTCAAAAGTTTGATATATGCATCAATCGTGTAGTCAGATTGTTGGTTGTTTGACGGATGTACTCGTCTTTTTTTCTTTTACTTTATTTTGGGGTGATGACAGGCGTAAGCTGCTCTTTTTTTTTATTCCTTTCTGGGAAGGCCATGGATTTTGGTGCTTTTGATTCCAGTCTAAATTTTTAGTAATGCTTTGATGCAAGAAAGGGGAAGGCTGGATTGCCGTCAAGCTAGATATGTCTAATTGATTATGATATATCCTTCTTAAAGGAACTTCTCATTCTGTAACATCGTAGCAGAATGCATATCCATTCCTACATCCTCTTTGAAGGTGAATGGAGTTTTCTGTAATCTATTTTAAGTCTGAGATAAGGCAGGGGGGGCCACCTATTGTCTATTTATTCAAATTAGCAATGAAAGCTTTTTCAAGCCTCATGCATAATGACGAGTCCTTGAGGGAATTAAAGCTTGCCAGAATTTCTCCTAAAATAACCCATCTATTATTCGCTGATGAGTGATTGCTTTTTTAGCAAAACAAACATGCAGGGTTGCATCAGCTAATCCAATGTCTAGGCATGAAGAAGATGGATTTCCATCATCGTTACTTGGGTGCAAGATTTTGGATTGAAAAAAAGAAATGGGAAGCCTAAAGACCTGGTGGATAAAATGAAGCAAAAGTTGACCATAACTATCCCAAGCTGGTAGGACCACAAAGATAAAAGCAGTAACTCAAGCTTTACTAGTATATACAATGTCATCAACTCTAATTCCTAAAAAAGTTCATAGATTAGAACCGATGCAAAAGCAGTTCTGGTGGAAGGGTGACAGACAAACATAATTATCATACTTACATTAGGACAAAATGTGCAAAACAAAGAAAGAAGGGGGATCAAAATTCAGAAAATTGGTTGCTACGAACAAGGCTTTGTTGGGCAAACAAGTCTGGCACTTCATAAATGAATCAAATTGCCTATGGGCATAGGTAATACTTGAGCTCCAATTCAATTTTTAACTAACAGTCAAAATTAAGAGACTCCAAATGGTAGAACAATTTATAGAAGTAGCTCATCATCTGAAATATGGCTTTATATGGAAAATAAAAAATTGTTAAAAGGTCTATCTTATAAATGATCCATAGATTCTTTCAATAAACTGTTTCCAGTACATTGCTCAATCACTCAAAGTCAAGGATGTTCTTTCCATTAATGGAACCTAGAATTTGCACATTCTCAATGGGTTATTTGATCAACAAACAATACAAGAGATAATGAAGGTTCATTCTTTTAATAACATTCATGAAGATCTGTTGCTGTGGAAGCATTTTCATAATCACAGTATACAATTAAGTCTGCCTATCTATGTTTTACAATTGAGTTTCCCTCCACTTCATTACAAAGAGTACCACGGAAGTGTATTTGGAAGGTAAGGTTCCTTTCAGATTTTAACTCTTTTTGTGGAAACTATAATGGGACAGGGTCCCTACAAAGGACTAACTCAAGTTCTTACAACATACCATTTGTATGATTTGTTAACAACATGTTGAAACATCAATACATCTTTTCATACCATGCCCATTTGCAAGATCTATTTGGACAGCTTTACATGTGAATCTCAACATGGTTAATGGCAGGTCCAATCTGATTCTTTCATATATTAAAAAATGGGAAGAGACCTTGCCTCCAAGTACTTCTAAAGGGAGCAAGAAGAGTTACTACAAAGGATAGTAATAGGCTTTAGGTTCGTATGGGATGTCAGGAGCAGGAAGATATTTGATAATACCTGATCCTATATGGGTTATTAACACAATTAATAATTATCTCATTCAGCCACATCATCATGATGAGCACCTCATATGTTAAGACCCGAGTAGCAGCAGACCCAGAAGGAAGGATCCAGGCCCACTACACTCGAAGCCCAACTCAGGCCTCTCCAGAGTTCACGCGCACCACGTCTCCACTGCGGTTCGTGTATTCACGTCGTCCACGTCAAGAGGAATGAGTGGGTTGTTAATTATTCAGAGGACTTGCTGCATGATAAATGCCTGTATGAGCTCTTGAGAGCAACCTCTCCTCTACTCCTCTCTTCTCCTATCTTCTCAGTTTAGGAGGGTGATCTCCCTCGAAACAGCTCCAGTTCTCTCTGTTCCGTTTCGGTTCTATCAACTGGTATTAAAGCCTAGCGACAATGCCAGCTACCAGAGCCACAGCGTCCGAAGAAAGGATGAATCGTATTGAATAGGAAGTGCGGCAAACCTCCAGTAAACTCAGAGATATCAAGGGAACCCTCTCCGCATTGGTCGAACAGTTCGAACGTCTTTCACCGGCATCAAAAGCATCGGAGGCCGAAGTATCAAGTAGCAACAGAAGCAGCCGGCGGGAAGGAGCCATCCCCATCAAAGCCGCCAAGATCGACTTTCCGATCTACTTAGGTGATGACCCTGTTCCCTGGATCTACCGTGCTGAGCGATATTTTGAATTCCATGAAACCCCTGCAGACCAAAGGGTTTCCATTGCCGCCATTCATATGGACGGCAAAGCCATTATGTGGTACCAGTGGTACCGATGGACCCATCCACAAACTACTTGGTTAGATCTCACTGAAGCTTTACGAGTACGGTTTGGACCTTCTGGTTACGAGAATTACAATGAATCTCTCTCGCGAGTTAAACAAACCGGGACTGTAAGAGAATACCAAAATGAATTTAAACGGATGGCTATCAGAGTGCACGGCTGGCCAGAGGCCGCCCTAGTGGGCTGTTTCATAGGACTGCGAGAGGATATCAGAATTGAGGTGAATACTATGCAGCCTGCTACATTAACAGCAGTGGTTGGCTTAGCAAAACTCCAGGAGGAAAGGTTGGACCGCCTCAAGAAGATGGGGAAGCCCACCGGGTTTCAGGCAAGCCCGAGCCCAGTACCCAGGAACCACTATCCTAAGAATGAGCCGAACCCAGGCCCATTTCTGCATACACCCACTGTTCTAGTGACCACTATTCCGAAACCCTTGCTACCAGGTAAGAAAACCGGTTCCTTAACCTTACCCTACCGGAAGCTGACATGGGCAAAAATGCATGCTAGACGGGAGAAGGGGCTATGCTATAATTGTGACGAAAAATTTGTCCAGGGCCACAAATGTAAGGTCCAACAAGTTTATCTTCTTCAGGCTGAAGAAGAGGGTGGATCTGAACCGGGTTCAGAAGACATTGAAGTTCAGCAGATGGAGGTCGTTCCAGAGGTGGAATATTGTGTCATCTCCCTACATGCCTTATCTGGGCATCAGACCCCGCTGACCATGCGAGTCCACGGCCAGATATTGGGGAGACAAGTAGCTGTTCTGATAGACAGTGGGAGTTCACTAAACTTCATAACTCCCGAGTTAACCCGACAGTTGGGTCTCATGGTTGAACACATTCCGAGCTTCGCAGTGAATGTAGCCAATGGCCAGCGCACTACTTGTGAAGGGAAGAGCAAATCAGTGGGGCTCAAGGTTCAGGGGTATACATTTCAAGTGGGCCTACACCCCTTGGAGTTCACAGGGGCAGATGTAGTTCTGGGCGTACAGTGGCTCCAAATGTTGGGCCCTGTAGTTTGCAACTAGGCCGAGTTAACCATGAAATTTGACCAAGACGGGCAATTAAAAACCAGCCCATGACTGAAGAGAACCTGGAGGCCATTCTTAAACATTGCCAGTACACGGCTACCCCATTACTAATGAGCATGGGCCCTCTTGGGCCCACAACTATCCCCTCCAATGCAACCACTAACCTCAGCCCAAGTGAGTTACAGCAGCTTCAGAGATTGCTGCGGGCTTACCCTGATGTGTTTGAGGAGCCCCACACCCTCCCGACTCCTAGGGCCCATGACCACAAAATTCCCATCCAACCCGGAGCTCCACCCGCCAATGTCAGGCCCTACCGTTACCCACATTATCAGAGGACAAAAATGGAAAGGATGGTGAAGAAGTTGCTGGACAAGGGCTTTATCCGGCCCAGTAGCAGCCCATATTCGTCCCCAGTTATTTTGGTAAAAAAGAAACATGGCAGCTGGAGGTTTTGTGTGGATTACAGGGCTTTGAACAAGATCACGATAAAGGATCGGTATCCTATACCCTTTATTGAAGAACTCTTTGACGAATTGGGTAAGGCCAAGTACTTCTCTAAACTGGATTTGCGGTCGGGTTATCATCAGATCCGTGTATACCCGGAAGATATTCACAAGACTGCTTTCCGAACCTCAGATGGGCATTTCGAATTCTTAGTTATGCCTTTTTGTTTGACCAACGCCCCGTCCACCTTCCAGAGACTCATGAATGAGATTTTCTGAGCTTATTTGTGGATATTTATCCTAGTATTTTTTGTTGATATACTAGTTTACAGCCCAAATGCTCACTTGGACCATTTGCAGTGTACCCTCACCAGATTGCTGAAGAAACACGCCTTTGAATGGGATCCACAGGCTGAAGAAGCTTTCCATTTATTGAAGAAGGCAGTCATCACACCTCCTACATTGGGCCTCCCAGATTTCAACCAAGAATTTGTAGTGGAGACTGATGCCTCTGGGAAAGGAATTGGAGCGGTCTTGATGCAGCAAGGTAAGCCACTGGCCTACTACAGCAAGGCCCTTACCCCACAAGCCCAAGGCAAATCTACATACGAGAAGGAACTGATGGCCGTGCCTCTCGCCATCCAGAAATGAAGGGCGTACCTCCTGGGCCGCAAGTTCGTGGTTAGGACTGACCATCGCAGCATCAAACATTTACTAGAACAAAGGGTATTGGGCCCTGATCAGCAGAAGTGGGCCTACAAACTGTTGGGGTTCGATTTCAACATTGAATACAAGCCGGGTCCCTCAAATGCTTTAGCTGATGCCCTCTCCAGGATGGGGGATCTTCATGTAATGGGAGTATCACATCCTACCTACTCATTGCTGGGCCAATTACAGCAAGAAGCTCAACATGACCAGCAGCTGGCCCAGTTACGGGCCCAAATTCTGGATGGATCTGCTACCACTCCAGGATACAGTGTGAAGGGAGGAGTTCCCCTTTTTACAAAGGAAGAATGGT